TTATTAAAGAGCCAACATAAATAATATTATGCCTGTTTTAATAAATGATTAGCACATATGAATTTGTCAGGCTACTCTCGTGAATCAAACAGTTGGGTTTCGCTGATACATCTTCAAATTTATACGTATGATAAGGAATTATCATATTGACATTGAGTTTAAAGATTTGTTTTTATAAGGGATATTGAGGGCACTAGCCATAGTACAATTGCAACTAATTATAAACTCTGGTTTAAAAATAAGATTACCGTTTAATTGGTTGCTTTATCAATTTAAAAATAATGATTCGGGAATTCTTGCAGGTTGCTACTTGGCATTAAAGTAAAGTTGGAGTCAAAAGTTAAGCGATTAAGTTTAGATAAAAATGCATGAAAAGTTGTGTTTTTTAGTGTTATCAGTTAATGAAACCTCTTTAAGAAACTGAAAATAATCTCGGTGCAATGGATGATCATTGAGGTTTTCATGTCAAATGTCTGGAGGTTTATCAGTCTCGATAAAACAATAAAAAGCATATTATATTGTTTTTGTGACTGCGATATTTACATAAAATTTTAGATTTTAATAAGCGCACTTGGTAACGATCTCGATTATTATTCGAATTCGAATTCTGTTTTGTGTCCTCTATTTTTGAACTTGAAATCTTGAGCTTCAATTAATTAATTGCCGGATGAATTAAATCGAATTGTCGGGGTTTTTCAAGGAAGATTTAAAAAAATTTAGATGGGGTCGTTGTGCATTATTTTCTTTCATAAAATAAAACAAAATTTTGCTGGACTAGGTGATGACTTTGAATTTTCCGCAAGTACAACGAGTAGAATTTTTGCAAAATTCCTTCCATTAATTAGCGAGATGTTAAAGAGTTTAATAGTCTGGATACCACCTAATAAAGTTAAAAACGTCTAAAAAACCAATACCTTTTCCGTGCACATTATAGTAAAGTTTACGCTATAATCGATTGTTTAGAAATTGAAATTCAGAAGCCGGAAGATCCAGTCAAACAAGCTCTTACATGGTCAGATTACAAGAAAGATAATACCATAAAGTATCGATATCGTCAACCTCAGATGACATAATAAATTATATTTATTATGCCTTAAATGTTAATGTCTTAAAGACGCTTAGCTTGCTCCTATGCAATATGCAAGTGCACATTCTGCTGGTTATGGGCATATAACTAGCGTAGGATTTGTGCCACTCTACGTCACAGCCAGTAAAATAACGTTCTCGCGTGACGCCATTTTACGAGCAAATCTGCTAACTTTCGTTCCCTTTTTTTGATATTAAATTTTTTTCTTTATAAATTTGCTTTAAGCATTCTTCTAAACGACCTTCACGCTACGATTGAGAGAAGTTTCTCCCAAAAAGAAATATTTGTGCAACGACTCTATTCTGAAATAAACCAAACTCATTTTACTTATGAAATTTTTATAATGACGGATGAAAGAGCCTATGTTAATTTCACTACAATCAATTATATATCGATAGCGTTTCAATGATTTGATCATTTGGAAATTCTATTCGAACTATGTTTCGAAAAAGATAAATACATGTTACTTTATAGTTTATCATATCAGGAATAACTTCAACAAAGTTAACATTTCGATGTGGCTGTTGCTTTATAATTATCTCACTACAAATGTGATTTTGTGTGGGAACAGTGCAGATCTAAGAGAATTTTGTGAGTATGAAACGAATATTACATTAAACTATACCTCCAATACAAACGACGGTTCCCCTTTAAATCTGGCCAATTTGGTCCACCTACCACATATCTATTAGCAAAAAAATGCAAGTGACATTTTTTCATTGCAATAAAATAAGGAGTTTAAAAAGTAATTGCATTAATTTCGGTAGCGTGCAGGTGCGCACGCTACTTGCAAAATTTAACAAAATAATTTTATTGCAAAACATGAGTCTTTCCGAGCTTTTGATAGCTGGAAATTTTCGTTTAAATGTGTCCAAGCGTTTTGGCGAAATTTATCATTTAGCATTTTTTTATTTAAAGTTCAGCACCCTGTAAATCCATAACGAAGCGTTTTTGAGCTAACGTTTGAATAGCAAACTAGGGTTATTTTCGGTAGAATACGTGGTTAAAATAATGCCCTTGAACAGCCTACTTTTTAATCCAGAAGCAGGTTTTACATTGAAATCGAAGTATTTTTTGTATAATATACTATGTGAAAATTAATTCAATGGTTTTGGACAAAACGACAAACGTTTTATTTTTCAGTCGCTATTTCTGTACGGTCTACGAGAGTGTCTCGCTTTACTGATTCACCCGATATAGTTATTTATTATAGAATATAATGTCACTGTAAGAAATATAGTAATTTGTCAAATTTGTTCACTTATCTTCAATGAGTCGAGACGTATTAATACATTTTAAACTATTAAGTTGGTAATTAGTGTCCAATATTATATAATTATTAAAATGGAAAATTTCAATGTATAATCGGCAATGATTTAAGATATAGTAATTTTAGACCCATCACGTTTGAATAATTTAAAGTTTTAAATTCTTGTATTTTGCCATATATCCCTCCAATCTTTCATAACCTTTTTCATAAACTTGACCGAAATGAAAAAAAGTTTAAATACATATATTAATATTAAGAGTACTAATAATGTTGGTTGAATGGTAAATGTTGAAATAAAGCTTTAAGCCTTTAATGAACTAATTCAACAACCTTTTATAAAAATAACTTGGTTTGTCTCAATTGAGATCACGATCAATTTTACATTTAGTAAATACAAAATTATTGTAATAACATGTATCCATGTATTTTAAATTATTCAAATGCAAAACCTTAAACATCTCCATATTAAATAAAATATACTTACACCACTTTCAAAGAAAACGGCTCATATAAAACATTATTCTACAAATGTTTTTAATTCTCACGCAAAGAGCAATAATGTGAAATTACTGCAGGTTGTTAAAAACTCTGTTAATTTTTGGCTCATTGTTAGAGAACCAGTTGAGCAAAAAAGCTCTAGTTATGTAGAAATAGATTGTAGGACTTAAACTGCGCATTTTTTATATAAAACATCACTATTTGTGAAAAATTTCCTGTTTTTACTAAAAATAAATGTCCTCTCATCAATCACCTTAACGAATTCAATAATAAAATGCAGAATTTGAAAGTGTTTTTAAAAATCTGGCAAAATATAGATGCGAGGGCTCGTGTTAAAATGAAGTTCAATATTCCATTGCTTTCAATGGTGTCAGTAGAGGAAACGTTTATAAATCCGGATTTGAGTTGAATGTGAATCTGGCATTTAGGCCTCTTTTGCACAGCATATCAAACTGCATGGACTCAAAGATTCATAAAAATGGAGCAAAAGTGTGAGTGTGATCCGAGAGCTCGTGTAAAAATCAAGCTCCCTAGCTCTCAATAGTGTGAATTAAAGTGAAGCACTCACAAATCATGGCATGGTTTGTGAATGCTGTACTTTGATTTTGGTGGATCGGCTAACAATTGTGCAACCTTTCATAACAGAGCAAGCGAAAACATTTTCTAATTTCATCGAAATTGAGCAAAATATTGATCGGGGAACGAGTATTTAATTGAAGCGGTTTTTTGTTTATAAACAGGATAATACCAATTAGTGCCATTTAGGCAAGTACGGTCTGGAAAGTACCTGTTAATTAATAAAATTAAATTAGTTAAAGTACCTGAGTGTAATCCACATTTATTTTCAACTTCGTCTGTATATTCATTGGGTGTTCAAGTGTAATGTGTGCTTTTTGAGTATCAATGGATAGACAATGGATGATGGGGCGCCAGTTTGCAGAAAGTACATAAGAAGAATTATTAATCTATAAACCATTAACTTGAACTGAGTTTAATTTTTCGAGAAATAATTGAAGTTTTATTCAGTTGTCTATTTTTTTTCTTTTCAATCAAATAGCGAAGTTTTTATGCAGCTTTCGGTAAGTTTAACATTACTTACATTGGCGGATGGCTCGTTGGAACTTTGCGTGTGATTCTGGCCCACCCATTCAGATTCTTCTAATTAAAAATTAGTTTTTTCTAATTGAAAAATGTGAACAAATTTGTTTTTACTCAACGATTCGTGGTGGGTATTTTCAGGGGCTCGGATCCGTCCGAATAATTGTTTTGTTATTGTTTCAACTTTGAACTGTTTGTATTGTATTCTCTGTATCATTTAGATACTTATTTTCTTAACATAGAATTTGTTTCGTGAAAGAAGACGCGCAAACGAAAATTCCCTTGATGTTTTGCCAAAACACGGACAGGCGATCCATTTTCTATCGGCGTTTTGACGAAACATCTAAGAATTTTGCCGCACATCAGGCTCAGCTCGTTAGATCTGGACGTGGCATTAAACATGACTCTTTAAACTTCTAGACTGTAAGACTTACACCACCTTACAAAGAAGGAACTTCTTAACCAGTTTGTAGAATGGCTAAGCAATCGCTTATTTTCTTTTCTCTAATATTTTTCGGTTTTGCACCATCTATTAATTTTGTCGAATATAAATTAAATAACTTCTTATAATTATTACCAAAAATTGAGATCGTGAGAGAAAGGTACTTTAGAGCTAACGGTCCATTCTAGCAAACAAAATTAGATGATCCTCTTTTAAGGCATTTAGCTGCAATTAAATATTCTTTATTAATCATGTACATACAAAGAACGACACTAGAGCAAAACCACAATTAAAAAATAAAAGCCCCAGTAGGCAAAAAATTATATTCTTCCAAACAATCGGGTACTCGGTAGAAAAAAAATTCTACATACAAAAAGCTGTTTTTCCAAAAAAACATTTGCCTTGAAAAATCGTCAACCGGCAAACTCTTACGACTTTCACGTTTCTCAACCGATTTTAATTTTACAAAATAGAATTTTTAGACAAAATCACTCGCTTTAGAACGAATTTTACACAATCAAAATCTGGCCCATATTATAAGAGCTTATTTATTCACACTGAAGGATCTAATGATAATGATGATATAATTATAGTCAATCAATCAATCATTGAGTCAATTTTCTTTTATTTTGCTGAAATACATGTAATCCGTATTGTAAATGTTATCATGCTACAGATGCTAGATGTGGTAGTATTAGGAACAAATTATTTACTGATTTTAAAAAATGTACAGTAATATTTTCATCAAAATACTTTCATATAGGTAATTAACAATTAATATAAAATATTGATTTCTATTTGAAATGTTTCATTTTTAGTCGGTTTTTTTAGTTTGGTCGATAGTTTTTCTTGCTAAAGTTAAAATAGGTATATTGATCGGTAATGAGAAACATCGAATGCCGCTTGAGCTATAAATTGAATAATATGCAATATAAGACTAAATGAATAAAATAAGAAATACAAATCAGATTAACTTTGATACTTCCGTGATTTATTCTATTAAGGAATAATTTAACAATTATTAAGCTATTAAAATTATTTTAATTTTTTATACAAATTCCCTACACTTTCCGTTACATAGTCTGGTATGAATTTATTTGTCCTTTTCGCTGTTGCTAATTCCTGTTTCGGCAGATCGCTTGATAGTATTAGACAGGTTTTAAATCCTCCGGCCACTCCAAACGCAATATCACTGTATAAACTAAAAAAAATCTAATAGTCAAAAATGCAAATCTGTATGTTAAACGTTTAGCGTAAATTGAACAAACAAATCATCAAAATTGGAAACAGTTTTTAAATGGGACTAGTTAATCTATTTATTTGGATTTCTTGATGATTGACGAGAGTGATTTGATGAGTGTATCTGTTTCGAGACTGAAAAATAATGCAGATTGTCAAATAAAAAAAAAACTGGATATCACTACTGACAAAGTAAAACGAATGTTTAAAATTTGAACTTTGGCTTAGAACGTGATTTATTGAAACACCCATCATTATAGCGCTATGAATCTTGAGTTAATTGATTCGATCTTACTTAGAGATATTCTACAGTTTATACAAAAAAAACTACTAATTACTTTTCGGTACTTTCTATATCTATAGATTTTAAGATTTTAACGTTTTCACTTGTTTGTTTGTTTCTTTTCCTTCACTAATTCTGTAGTTTTGTACTTTTTTCGTATTAAAACATTTAATACAATAGGAAAGGTCTAAACTTGCGTTTAAAAGCTTAAGATGATTAGTATTTATAAACACTTTTACAATTACAAGTTAAAATGCATAAAATTTCCTCAAATCATCATCTGAATTTCAAAGTTGGTTAGATTATTTAAAAAAATCCTTCGTTTTTATATCAATAATTTTCACTTAGTAGTGTCAGCTCTTTATTTAAACATGGTGATTTGTAGTCTTTTTTAAATAAAAATGATAAAGCTAATTAATTATAATTAAATTAGAATTGAAGCAAGGGAATAAAAATGTTAACTGATGCAGCCGAAAACTTTTAGTAAAATCTGCTTTGAGCATTGTCTAGGATTAAACAAATAAAAAAAACAAAACACTCGCACGCCATTCTTGAATGTCAATTAATCCATGTTTCTATTGTGAGTTGGTTAATGAAACAGTTTAGGTGACTTAAGTGATAATCCCTTATTTTTGATAATTGAAAGGCAATATTTACTCTGGCGTTTCAATATTTTCTTCCAAAGCTCCGCGAGTTCCTCGTTTTGAAAAAATTCATATTTCACTTAATTTTGCCTCAAATTTTTCTCAGAATATATTAGAATAAAATTTGTATGTGTATATTATGAAAACTTGCGACACTCCATTTTCGAAAGAAATGTTCCAAATAATCTGGGCTTTGATTTTACTGATAGGCCCAGAAACATTTTACTTCACGATTTGACTACTAACACTTCAGTACTTTTTCATTGGCATATTGAAATTGCTATGGAAAGTAATCAATTTCCTGGATCGAATGAAAAATATTCTTCATCTGCAACAAGAATGCCCAGCATTTACTTGCCTATCTCCTATCATTAAGACACGTTGGCCATCAGTAATATTTAACTTATTACAGATCAGATTGACCAATCCTTGTCCAGGTTTTCCAAATCCAATAGTTTTCTTCTTGCTCCATCTTTCAAGGGCATCTCCATAATATTTTGGACCTACATATAAAGGATGTGAGCCCTAGCCATTCAGCTTAAGACTTCTTAAGAGTCTAACAGTAAATTATTAGAGATTGCTTGATTCATGTCGTATCTACCTGACAAAATTATATTGCTGCCTATATTTCCCCAGTCATCCAAACATCCACTGGCCAACTGAACATTAGCAATATTGGATAGAATAACTTGAGCCACCTGGATAGCGCCTTGGCAAAAGTTGATGTCGTAGTCTAAAAATACCATTCCCACATTTTGGCACCGCTCAATGGCTTTTCGAGATAATTCTCTAATTGCATTTAAATCCTCTTCTAGATCTCTGATCCGCAGACTCTAAACAATCAAATAATTTTACAAACTTTTCAAACTATCTTAAGATACGGTACGAATAATATCACTTAAGGCCTCTAATAAAATAATGTATATCATAACAAACCTTATAATCAATCACATTGAATCCAGCATCGGTCAAGAGTTTCTTGCATGCCCTGGACCCTATTACATAAATATCCTTTTTATAGTCGATTCTTTGGAGATATTCCAAAAGGGCAGTGATTGGATTATTTATTTCGTCGAGCTCAGCTTTTATGGGTGCTAGTATTTGCTTTATTGTTTCAGGCGATTTAAGAGTATTGTTAGTAACATATGCGATTTTTTTACCAATATTTCGCAATTTCTCAATAAATTCAGCAGCCCCCGGAACTATTTGATTTTGAATTACCAGAACCCCTAAAAAATTGAATATTTTGCAAATTTGGACCGAATGAAAATAATCCGGGCAATCGATGAAACTTACCATCAATATCAAATAAAACAGTATCAACAGAGTTGATCAAATTCTTCACTACTTCACCATCAACCTCATCAACATTTATGGCAGACATTGCAAAATGTTGCTGACTAACTAACTGAATGCACGTTGGAAATTGCAGTATAAATCCACGTTATGGCGAAATTTCTTAGATCTTATTTATGGATTTTATTCGCAAACTGATAGCATAAACAATCTGCGAGTATTACGAATCGGAGTACATTAAGTAAAATATAAATATAGTAGTGTTTGTAAAGATTATCTTTCAAGGTCTTACATGGCCTAAAGCCTCGAAAAAATCAAGCAGTGTCACGGAAAGATCTTTTGATTGTACTGTAAAAATATTGAAAGTATTTTAATCCAATTCGCAAACTGATAGCATAAACAATCTGCGAGTATTACGAATCGGAGTACATTCGGTAAAATATAAATATAGTAGTGTTTGTAAAGATTATCTTTCAAGGTCTTACATGGCCTAAAGCCTCGAAAAAATCAAGCAGTGTCATGGAAAGATCTTTTGATCGTACTGTAAAAATATTGAAAGTATTTTAATCCAATTCCAATCTAATTCAACAGTTAGTTCTATACAGGAATCGGGTTTTTTGCAAGCTAATTTTACTTGATTTAAAAAATGATATTTCATTGTTGTAACACTCTGTATGCTTAGCATTACTAAACAGTAGCATATATCGCTTGATATTTATTTATGCTCAAAAGTGCACTTTCTCACAAGGATCCATGATAACGCCGCCAAATGATAATAAAATAAGAGAAGACGTATGTTAAAGTGATATTACCAGAGATTAATTATTCAATCTCTGATATTACCTACTGAAGCTTAAAAAAATCAGGTTAATATGAAAAAAAAATGTGTTATTGTCTCGGAAAGCATATTTCCGATACCGATATTCTTTGCAATTAAAATAATTAATTTAATTTAAACATTAATAAGAAAACTAAAATCTTACAATCTCAAAGTTCTGACAAATCTCATGCTAATCTATCAAGCAAAGATGCTTTCAGGAGGTCATTTCGTGAGTAAAAAGAAAGTTTTGAAAATAAAAACTAATGAAATAAAATGAAGGAAGACAGGCAATTAAAACGAGAAAATTAATTTAAACATTCTTAATCTGGCGCTTTCGGCTTTGTTTTAAATGTCATATAGTTATTGAAAATTAATTTGTAAAGGCATCTCAAAACGGCGGACAAAGATTTCTCAATGAGCTCCACAGTTTAAAAACAGGGTGAACAACTTTTCTTCAAAAATTCTTAATCTTATTAGCATAGTTTGGACTTTGAGAATAGCAAGACATGTACAGTAGAAGGATCTTTTCACCTCAATACCAAGTGCTTGATAAACGTACTGGTTTTCGCAAAAATCGCTTTTCTATTGTTATCATTTTTTTGAGAATTTGCATATGCAAACATACCAGTAAACCTCTACTTTTTAAGTCAAAAACACACATTCATTATCAGTCTAATAAGACTTTTAAAGTAATAGAAGAGCTGCTAAACTGTTAATAAACTATTTCAAAAATTTAAAACTTTACAAATTCAGTACATATTGAAAATATCGAGTTGCGCCAGCTTGAAATGGTGTGCTATTTGCATAAAGAACGAAGTCTTAATAAAATGTGAAAATCGCGGTTTTTCCCGGAAATAATCGCATATAACTCGGTAAGTAGGCATTTTAGAGGAAAAATGTATGCTGATGAATTTGTTCGTTATGAAATTTCCTACAGGATGGAGATACACTACAAGTCCGATATCCGTAGGTTTGAAATGTTCGTTGCAAAATGCTCGAAATAAAAGTAAGTAAAAAACAACGTTATTTTAAATTATCTATTTAACAATGAAAAAATAACCCCATCACTCCATATATTGAGAGAAAAGTAGTTGACTGCAATACAAATCGAGAGCCGCAAGGCCGATTAAGATCGGACGGACAGTTTTTTCTTAATGCAATTGTTAAATAACCTACCTGAAGAAATAACCTTTTTGAAATTTTGTGCCAGGGTCAAAGTTATGAATATTTTTGTGTACCCGCGCTTTTACAAGTTGTTGGAGCCGTTTCATATACAATTGCTTATTAACCACTTTTCAACTTTTTAAAACTTTCTGAGCGGTTTGAAAAATCTGCGGATATCGGACCAACTCTGTTTCATTTCAGAAAGTCATAGCGAACAAATTTTTATAAGCATACAGGTTTTCTCTAAAATGTATACTTGTTTCCAGAAAAAGCGCGATTTTCGCATCTTTGTTTAACTTTTTGGTTGCTTATGCAAATAGTACACCTTTTCAAGCTGGCACACCTCGATATTTTCAATATGTATATCATTGCCGAGCGATTCCAACAGTTATCTAAGTTACGTCACCTTAGGGGGCATATTTGAAAGATTTTGTCGTAATTATCCTGGCTTATTAAGCATGAGAAAAATATCGTATGTTATTTGCCTTAATGCAGCAAAAATAAAAACTCACTAAAGGCCTTCGAATTGATTCAACAAACAACATTTCTTTGTTCTTACTTTAATCCAACGCAAGATTCTTAACAAAAGAAGCTCATTCCAGCCTTTGAGATAAACTGTCTGGATTATGTAGGTAATCTAGAATCATAAAATGACCAAGAAACATTGATCTTGTTTTTGTGAGATGGATCTAACCCAAACCTTCATAAATTAAACAATAAACGTGTGAACGCTTTAATGTTTAATTGTTATTTCTGTTTAATTGAAATGTTCAACATCTTTTTTTGCAAACATGGACTCACCTGCTCGTGACGAATGAATATCAACTAGAAAACTGAAGCGATTATATAATAAATATTGTTTAACTATGTCTAAATTACCAGATGTCCGTCCTTCAATAACATAGACTTGGCAAACGGACTATAATTTATTAATTTGGCCTTGAATATTTGTTGCTATTGTGTTTAGCAATAAATAAGTTGATGGCCTTTACGACAAAATTTTGTTATATTTTTACTTTCACTTAAGAGATTTTTTTCCAGTGGGCTAAGTCTGCTAACTACAGAAATATTTTTTAATTTAGATATGAACTGTGCGATTTTATTAATTTACTAATAGCTCAATCACTACCCAGAATAATAAGTTGATGCAAATTTTCTAAAAAATGCATAGTTTTGCGGTCTTTCATACGTTGGATGTGCTGAAGATGCTAGTGTTAATTAATACGCGAAAAACTGATTCATCATATACGAGTGAATATGCAAGCGTTCGAAAGTAATGATAATTTGCCTCGTTACTAATTGCATTAACTATTCTTTTGTGTTTAATCACTGAGTTTAATAAAATAAAAAAGATAATATTTATTTAACCGTCACGGGTAGATAACTATCATACAGTTTTACCGATAAGAAACCACTGTGCACATCTCGTTATCGGTGCTGCATATGAAATTAGCGAATAACAGCCGATGTACTACATTAAAAAACTAAAAATAACTTATTTATACGAAAACTGTATTTTACCTACTGTCATAAGGATTTTTTCTATTTGAAAGCTCTAGCCAAAATTCTGAATGGTTGTTAGAATCAATAGAAAATGACTAAAACCTCACATTATAACTTACAAAACGCGCTCAAATGTTTATTTTCAAAAATTTATTGAAATATTCAATATTTTAGTTTATTTCTCATTTTTTTTATATAATTAATTTATTAACTCAAAATTATTCGTTCAATAGTAGACGCAACACCGTATCTGACATTCTCATTTTGAACATTTAATAATCAGTGCTTTGCTATGGTTCAGAACATTAAAAAATCACTCTACTAAGAGATACTGCATTTAAATTTCGCAAACAATATCATTATCTACACATTATGACTACGTTAATTTACATACTTATTTACTTAATTTTTGTCTGTTTTAATCAATTTGAATAATATCGAGCTAGATTTTCCGAAAATAACAGCTTCAGCAAATGCATCGGCAATATACATACATGGTAGACTAAAAACTTTTACTAAGGAGAACTTGGATCATCAATTGAACGAGATTCTATTATCTTTTCAATTTAATAAATATTTTGAACGCACTTTTCCTGAAAATGCCTGCTGAACCATTTCAAGCAGGATTTTATAGACATTGGTTGATTTTTGTTTTTTTTTATAGTGTCGTTCGTTTTATGCAGTGTTAATGAGTAAGAAACAAAAAATAAAAAAGTTCAATAATTTGATACCTCACACGAATGGGGATTTAAACTTGAAACCTCATTTCAGGCCACCTTGTATATTTCCAAATATACAGTGGATTCAAAAATGGCAATTATATAACTAATCAGTATATTTTTATAAATTAATTTTTGTATACATTTTGTTGTTGTTGTTGCATTTTCTTAAGTATTGTAGCTGAGATCAAATCAAAGCCGAGTGTTTTCTTCCGGTTTAGATTTTGACTGACTTCTTTTGTGGTGACTAACGGAATTGGTCCAATCCACATAGCGGGTGTCAATTTGAAAACTTCACACCCTTAATATCGTTCTTGCAGTTTAAAATCTGAAACATCGGAAAGACCCGTCAATTTTATTTGCATGGGGGATACTATAAATGAATATTTTTAGTCTCTTTGTTCCAACCCCCAAGCACGAATAGCTGTTACCCTTACTTTACTTACTTAAATGGGAAGAGGGTCAAGTGGCACATCGTTTTAAAGAGCGTTCAATTCTCTTTACATTAGTTACTACTTTGTTGCTTTTTATTCAGAGGTTTTCGAGTACTCGCGTTTCGAAATTCCTGTGGGCCATTTTTGTTTGTATGTAGCCTTCTTCGCTTCTGATCCTTTTCCATTTAAATCTTCGATAATATCAACAAGGTCTATCGAGTAGTGCAGGTTTTTGATCATCATCTCTAATATCTCTTGATTGTTTATCTTCGACTGGGCTTGAAACGTTAATTTTAAATTTGTTATTATTGAGTAATAATTTTGATTTGGTAACACTCTTTCGATATTTGTGCACTTGCAAATGCAGCACGCATTTGCCGATAGTTTGTTACATTTTCTATTATGATTAATGGCGGCCTTCTCACATTTTCTTGTTTAGTTTGTGCCTTTTTAGGTATCTTATCATGCTCTCCATTCTGTTTCGTAACAATCATTTTACAGATTTAAAATATAATTGACTGATAATAACGATGGGTGTAAATAAAAACGCATTGCATCACTTTAATATTTTTTAAATTTTTATATCGTACACAGTACAATTTTTAATTTATTTAACAAATGTAAAGGCAATTTGCGATAAATAGCAAAGCTCGTATCGATACGTAAATTTGTCGAAAAGCGGCGAAACTTGTGATATTTGTTTCTAAATTTCTCTAAGGCCGAATTATATATGTGTAAGTAATCTAAATTGAAAATATTGAAATGTTCACACTGTTAGGCGAGCGCTCAAACACTTAAATAGTTCAGCTTGGCTTTAATGTATACATCCTGCAGAATTGAAATATTAGGCAATAGGTACTAATTAATGCTTGCGAAAATATATGATTAATGTAAGTCACATTTGCAGAAATTATGATTTCACTAAAGCTTCAATGTGGTTCATTTACGTTTATTTCCCTGAAGATCAGTAATCAAATTGTATGAAAAAACGGTTTTATTTTGTTTTTACGTTAGTGAAACCATGCTAATAGCAAAGGAGGATCGGAATCCTTGGGGTTGCAACCATGATATATCGGCTATTTCGAAACATTAGCCAAGGAATCTGCAAATCCTAGATCGCCTTTTTATCTTATAATATTTTCAATAATCATAAACAAGTAATTGTCAGTTCAGCTGTTTACTAAATGTACAGCCTGGCTTTAGAGTTATATGCAGTATTTACAAAAATATAATAAGTATTATGCATTTTTCAGTGAAAAATCCCCAAACAATGTTTCATCGTTGATTAAATCTTATCGATAGCGTCGATCCAAAAAAGGAGGAAAACTCTTCGGTACTGTTCAGGAATTTTTCACTAAAAAACCTGAGCCAAAAGCGCTAAATAAATATCACATTACTCTATTAAGTCAACTAATATTCTGGCCTGAAGTACTGCGTACCAGGTGGTATTTTGTATCCTGGATATGTGCTGTTCAACGCATGTTGAGCGAAGAAGGGCGTGTAGTCTCGTTCTTTTCTTGAAGGCTTAACAGCAGGTCCTTTAGAGATTTCCTCAATAAAAGCCTGTTCCTCTGCCATTCTTTGCCTTACATTTTCTGGGGGCCATTTCAAGTCACCACGAAGGTTCTTTCCTCCTACAACAACTGTTCAGTATATTGAGATTAAAAAATGAGCAACACATAAAATTTTGATTTTCGCATATGTGAAGCTTGCAGATGACTTCGGCAGTTAACGACGCTTGATGATGGGTGAATGAAATCGATGAACAGTTCATTCTTTTATCAAATCAAAATTTTATGCATTTTCAGATCATCCTGGGGCAGTTTCATCTGAACTGTAAAGTGGTTTTGGTATCTTGTAACATTTGGTAATAGTGTATTTTGATATACAGGGTGGTTACGTGGGAATAAATTAGATCCATGGAAGAAGAACTGTAACTAGATATTATTGGGTGTTTATTTGGGCCTTTTGAATTTTCGTTTTTCATGTTTTTGCCTTTTAATGAGTTTTGATTATCCCCTGACATTTGCTTTTGATTTTGAGAAAGTTTTTCATGCTGCAGATCTGGAAACTTATGACCTCTTAAAATTATTGTGGAGTGAAATTGAGATATTCTGTGTTAAATAAGATTAAATGAAGTTTTTCTGAAATTAAAAATGCTTTTGCTTCTCAGTCCAATATTCAATCAATTTGTTTTTAAACGAAAAACGCTGTTTCTGAGGATCAAAAGGAAACAGATCGAAACTGCGCAATGTTTGTTGTTTCAAATCGAGAGACATTATTGCTTTATTTCAGTTCTTCTCATATAACACAGATATTTTAAAAATCACACATTTTCAACATTTATAATTGTTTCTGTGCAAAAATTAGTTGTTTATTTGAGTGTTTAAAAATAACTGTTGATTGTTGAATGAAAGGTAAATATTAAAGAATTAATTTTACTTAAAATCGTAAACCGTTACTTAATAAGTTACAAACTTAATTCACATGAAAGATCGTCTCTGAACGGAAGCGATGGTTATAGCATGCGAACAATTTATTTGCCTAAGAAATTTATATTATTTACAGAGAATATTGTAAAATTGCTTAAAAATTGTTTTTCAAGAATTGATTTATATTTTTTCTGATTGACTACGTTGTGTAATTAATTTTCCGGAAAATTCTTCAATTAATTTAGTACAAGTCTTATTATCTAACAGAACTAAATATATATTTTACGTATCAACATGGAGAGATTGTTTTGCAATTTATATGCCAATTGTCGACTGTAGACAACAACAAAATAATAAATTAAAAAATTGTTTGAAAATTGTTTGGAAATGCTGATTGGGAAAAAAGCGCAAACCGAACCTAAATATAAAATACTTTAAAAATTTCCCCTAAAGCAAAATATTTGATGATTGTCCCAATAATATTAACACATCTTTGAATTGCGAATCATTTTTGGGCCCAAGCATCTAACAAAATAAATAGTATAATAAAGTTATATACATATACTTAGTTGAGACGAATAAAAATTCCTTTAAATCTCCCTGTAAAGTCAAATACATATGGGTTATCCAAATTCAAAAAGGCATTAATTTTCCCAATGAGAGATTAATTTAAAAATTGTATTACATGGAAAATGAATGGGGTGCGTATGGACTATTATAGTGTGATAAATAGTAAACATTAAAGTTAAATACATTTATTTTGTGCTCTAAACACAATTTATCTATATTGATAATTTTAATAGAAGGATTGATTGGTTCACCTTCACCTATAAGTTTTTTTTTCAAGAAAAATTATCAATATATAAAGTAATAAAAACCGTGCAAAACCGTTATTTCTTATTTCAAATTTACAGATTTTTTTCTTAAATACAGTTGCTAACATTTGTTGAATACAGTGCAATAGTTAATCTAGAGAAAATAGTAATTAAGGGGTCAAAAAAGAAGTAAATTAATGAAACAACGAAACAATGGAAGACTTACCATTTTTAGGTTTACTACACTTTGAAAAATTACCTATATTTGCAATGCTACTGACTGTTCATACACAATTTCATACAAATAGTTAGAGAAAAAAACTCTAGTTCTTGAAAAGTAGCTGAAGAGTCAGATCCACATAATTTATACAGTGTGTCTACTACGTAAGAATTATCATGGAAAGGGTAAAGTATTCAAATGAATCATTTAAATGATGACCAAACGTCCTAAAATAATTGAAAAAACATTATATACTATAATGTAAAATAGTAATAAGAAATGGATTTTTTTTAATTTGCGGTTTATTTACTAGCTATTTAATGTTTGATTGTTGATTGTTAAGAAGTAGACCAATTGCCTTCTCTTCTAAATAGAGCTAGTTTGATACAGATCACAACATGTAGTTTTCCATATCAAACTAACTTAAACCGACACACAAAATATTAAATATATTTGAGCTTAATAACGTAGAAAATAGAGTTTTTTTAAGTTGCAGTATTGTATGAACGGTATATCAGTGAGTGTTTCGAAATAAGGTAAAGCAAAAAAATAAGACTTACCTTTAAGGGACGCCGTGGCTGGTTGAGCTGAATACACTGGTGCCGGAGTCTGACTTATTGGGGCCGCAGGCCGAAGAGTGATTGTCGATGGAGGAGGTTCTACGTGTTTTGCCGGTTGTGGTCTAGGAGCTGCTGGCTAAAATACAAATCTTAAACTCAATACCAAAATCAAAAAAATAGCTATTGATGTTTGTATATTTTTTGGCAAACAGCTTGTAGTAGGCAGCAAAAACTATTGTCAATAAGTGAAGTATTTTTCCAGAAAAGTACGGAAATTGCATTTATGAAATATAAAAACATATAAATACCACAAAATTGCTCAATTTCAATAATTAAAAAAAATATTTTTTGGTAGTTGGCAAACTATGGCGGTTTATGTCGAAACGAATAAAGAATTTTAAAAGATGCTTTTACAAAATATCGAAACATAACAAAAGCATATGGGTATGAGAGTCTCTCTGACTATAAACTCTCTGGACTGTTTCTGTTTCCGAAAATCCATAAACCGAAACGGTGAAATATATAGCAGGCAGAAAGTAGGTGGAAAACTGGAGTTTATTAGTAGACAAAGGTAACACTATTGATTTTCAAACATACACACAAAGCCATAAAAAATTCAAAATAAAGTCACATCTATCGCGATTTTCTCCGAATTTGGAGAGTTTTTATGTTTAATGTTCGACGTAAAGCCATTTACTTTTACTGTATCCAGTGTGCATTTAGTTCACCACGATGAATCTTTCAAATGCCCCGTTTCCTTTTAACTAGTCAATGCAAACTGAACGAAATGAGGCGTTTTAACAGTTTTTGAGTCCATTTTTCATGTTTACTCCGCGAAATATCTAATCACATAGGAATACCTATTTTACTCAAATTAGTAATAGTAGTTCGACATCCTAAAGACGCTTTTTCTTCAAATCAAATATACCTAATGCCTATGCCTAAGACCACTTTCTCTTCGAAATGCGATCTTTCTTATTTAACCTGATTTTAAATATTCTTTTGGTTTTGGAATTGTACCACTAATAGATAACCGGTTATAAAATCAGCTCTGAAATAAATCTATAGGATAATAAATCATTCAAATAATTAGTTCCTATAGCTTATATTTTTTAAATTTATACATATTTAAATGTGCCAGACAAAATTGGAGAAAACGGTAGATTCACTATCATACCTTATACTGAAAAAATCAACAATTTTAGTTTTCTATTTTCGTCAAATTTCCAAATTACAAAAAATCTTATCTATTATCATTTATGTTTTAATTGAATTAATGATTTAATTTCACCGTTTTTTCACGCTTACTCAAAACGTCCAGAACAAGGAATTTTTTGATATATGTATTTTAAAATATCAAAATCTCAATTAAAATCCGTCAATTCAAAAATATCTACAGCTTTTTAATCAATTATCTTTCATTCCACTTTTATTATTTGAGATATTATTATTTAAATAACCGTAATTAACTTTGCATTTTTTCGAGAATTAAAATTGTTCTTAAAATTCACATAAGATACTTTACTTTAATTCGTGAAGATCAAAAATTAGCCACACTGTATAGAAAATTTGATCAATCAGTCGATATTGAAAGTTGTAATGCACAATTGTAGTTTAATTTGCAACATTCGGTGTGTTAAAATGTTTATAAATTGTTAGTTTCTTATTATTTATTTATTAATGTTTGAAAATGAAAAATATGGGAAATTTTTCCTTGTGGGTGTATTATTTTACCGTGTTCCGATTATGAGATTATGACGAAATTATACGTCGAAAATGTTCGGCTATCAGCTTGTCAATAATCTCGAAAACGAATCAACTTCAAACAAAATTATAGAAACTTTCATTCCATAGACCCGAATCTTTCCTATTCCAGTTTGCTATAAATATGTACATAAAGCTGTAAGTTCACGGTACAACTTTCATAAAAAACCACTAACGGACATTCTATTTATGTATCAAAATAGTTGTTACGAAATTACCAGAAAAAGTCATAAAAAATATTAATAATTCGATAATGAAAATGTCTATCCTCACAAGAAAAAAAAACATAAAAAATCCAAACACAACGCATCAAAAATCTTTCATACCTGTGGCTGAGCAACTGCTGGTTTTGCAGGAATTTGGCTTTGGGCTGGGATTGGCTGGGCAGCTGGTTGAGGTTGGTATTGTTGGGGAGGAGCCTGGTATTGATGAGCGGGCGGGGTAGCGAAACCACTAGGCTGAGACCCGTATTGGTTGGGCTGTTGGTACTGCTGAAGACTCGGCTGGTACTGTTGAGCGGCTTGATGCGGCTGGCTCACTGGCTGGTACTGAGGTTGGCCTTGGTACCCTTGAGCAGGCGGCGCTCCAAAGTACTTCTGAGCACCAGGTCCTAACGGAGTGGTTGGGGATTGAACGGGGGCCCAACCTTTGGGACCTGAAGGTGTGGCGGAACGGAAACCTTGAGGGGTTTGGTTCAGAGCTGGAGAAGTTAGAGGTGAGCCGGCGCCTACTGAGCTAACGTCCAAGGGTTTTAGAGGACGGTAGGATTGTTGAACGGGTACACCCTGCTGCTGGGAAGGGTAGTTATTCTGTTGCAAACCGGGGGATGGACTGGAATATTGGGGTCCACCCTGATAAAAACAAAGTTTTGTACTGGTTTGTTTCAATCAAGTGTGGTGAAAACTGTTTAGAATTTTGCAGATTTAAAAAAAGCTGAGCACTCGATGCAAAACGCCTTGAATCAATTCCTCAAGGTATTTGAGCTGTGCTAAAAATATGTTGTTCATAACTAATGGTCCGCATACTGCCAAAACTATACTTTATGACCGAGAGGTAATAATAGCCAATAGAACAAACCCACTGAGCATATTTTTGAATTAGCGAATTAAAGAAATAACGTTGAGATAATTGGATGCTACAGTGTTAAATCGACTATAAAATAGCACTCAATGATCTTTGAGGGGCTTGAGCACCAGTCGATTTCGAGTGTGCACATCAGCACAAAGATAATGTATTAAATACAATTTTATGAAATTTTTATGCATATATTAATACATTCGTTAATGTGGGGCTAACCACACAACTTTGATGAGATGTAATTTATAGCTATTAGGGGAATTGATAGTCTACAGAGTTTTTGAAGCCAAAAATATCTTAAAAATTTATCGCTTCCGTAGACTTTCGGGATATCTTTAACTAAATAGAAAACTCAGTTTTTGTGTAATTTGGTGCAGATTTGTGGGTAGATTGTTCAGAAATGTTGCATTTAAACCCATTTGAAGATGTATGTTCTAAAAGCTGAATATAGAAGCAGCTTTGCTTATACCGCTAAAGAATGTGTGACAATGGAATCTACGCTTCGATACTTAGTCACATTCTTAAAAAAAACTTAAAAAAACACGGCATTTTTCTATAGCTCAACGAGAGCTAAACGTGTACAATTTTCTGATGGTTGTTACATCTGTTTTCATATTGATCTATTCTGCAATACGATTGTATTTTCTAGAAATTGACGAATCATTTTTAAACAAGCTGAAATTTCCGCTTACAAAATTAATCAACTTTTGACAATATTATTAACAGAATTTTCTGTATTAGTTTGAAAGGTTCTATTCGCTGTTAAAACTGCAAAGTAAGAAAACTTAAAAGACTTGTATCTATTTAGATTATTTTTTTACTCAATCAAGAAGTTGAAATGTTTCAATCGACAATTAAGGCTTCAAAATTTAATAAAAAATTTCAAATTGCTTTGAAATTTGCAGGAAAATTTGACTAATAAATATCAGTCAAATGCCAATTTAGATGCTGCGAAGAACACTACAAGTCAAATACTTTATATTACAGTTCTTAATTTTTTTATGTGCAGTTTTCAGATGCATAATCGTAAAGCCTCTAGGTCACGATTTATTTTCAAATTCGTTGGACTTATATCGAATTATTCTATAAAAGTGCATTTAAACTCTCCACTCGTTCTACTTTTCAATTTAGTTTCTGTTCATTTCAGAATTCAATTTTCTTAAGTCTCGTAAGCAACGGTTAATGTATTTGCGTCGTGAATAATAACAATTACTCAATGTGGAAGTCTGTTTTTAAAATTACTTCAGTTAAATACAAACTGCCCCAGGTATACGAGATACTTCTTATATGCAATGTGACTAATTTTGAGCAAAAATATTATTTTTCCTTTTTCTGAATTCTTAACTATTCATAAAATATACGACTTGATTAGTTGCAAAAACCGTCAACTCCGTTTTGCCACCAAAATATTTGCTATTTTAATAATTAGCAACTTAACTCGAATGAAAAAATGTTTTTATTTAATTTTGTGCGTTAAGATAAAAACTTGGGTTTCCTGTATTCAAATGACTAGTACGAATAACAATATTTGAATCGCCGTATTCCGCACAAACAGACGTTCAGTCGAACCTTCAGGACTCTTCAATTCTTCGAAAGGATCAGATCTTTTCCAAAAAGTTTAACGGAAAAAGGATGAACGACTATTTGTACGGTCTTTCAAGACAAATTTTCGGTAACGATCCTTCATTTACAAGAGATGGAAACAACAATTTCCGAATGATCATACGTGGTCAATCGAAAACCCTCAGGCTATTGGAGAAATTTGTTGGGCTGAAATTTATGACGGGATTTAAATACAGAAATTTTTTCAACAATTTGAATGTTCCGAGTTCTGAGTAGGAGAATTTTTCTCTCTACTAGAAAGATATTCCTTTTCAAATCAGGGAGACCAGATTATTTTTAAATGGTAGTGCTCCAGACCATTTTGAAAGAATTCTAATTTACTCTATTACAACGGAACTACTGGAAGAGTCACATTGTTTGGCCACCATAAAATCCAAACCTTAACCCTTTGGACTTTTTATGTAAGGACATGAGAAAAGACTTAATTATTCAATGAGAAAGATTCTGCCATTAGTTAGGTCAAAAACAAAATGGAAAAACTTCAATTGGGAAAGAGAGTTAGTCGGAGACATTAAATTCTTAAGGATGATCACATTGAGAAACTTTTTTAAGCTCGTAACACCACTTGGTAAACTTGGAAGTCGATATTTTATTAATCGTTGAAAATTCAGGAAAAGTGAAAAGAATACGTTTGCTGAAAATTATTCAAATATTTCAAAGGATATGGAGTATTTGTAATTCCCATGCAGATACTGCAATGAAAAGCGAGGCAAAACGCACTTGTACTTCTTGCTCCACCTTCGGACTTAAATAATCTTATAGAATTTTCCTTTACAGCTAAGGTTATGTAAATGTCCAACTCTAAAGCCTCGGCATTAATTCGCCTCTAATTTTAGGCATTTTATCTAATTTATAAGAAAAATGTATATGCAGAATGTTTTTTAAATTGTTCTAAATTATAGATAATCACCTGTACTGGAACAGGACTGTGTTGCACCACTTCCGCTGGATCTAAAACTCCCTCTTGTGGTGGAGGCCAGGCAACTCTCTTTGCTCCTAGAATCAAATTTAAATAAGCAATTTAAAAATGTAGTTCAAATAGCCATTATTTGATCTTAACAATAAACATCAAATTACGTAATTAATTTTATGAACTAAAATTATGAAATCTAATACAAAATGTCCATCGATAATAGTGTTTTTATTACATTTTTCATGTATTTTCATCACACAATCATCCAACTGCAAAACGGTCATCTGTAAATTAATCTGCGAAAACCGATGCGTATTTAAAGCTTTCATGTTTATACTTGGCCTGACTAACTCAATGACGAAAATTTTGGCATATTTTCAAAAAAAACTGATTCATATCGCCGAGGAATAAATACGAAAATTATGCCAAATTACTAACTGATTACCTGGTGACTTTCGCGTTTACTCTGAGCTTGTTTTGCATCATTATGATGTTTGATAATTAGAACAACTGGAATTCTCCCAAATAGTTTTTGTAAAAGTCATACTAACAGCAACAACTTGTGACGCTGGATCCAGAGCTTAAAATTATTTTAGCTTTTTTTAGATTTACGAAAAATACCCCTGGAAGTGCTTCGAAGAATCTCTAAGTAAAAACTCAATAAATAAATCAGTATTATGTCGCATGCGGAAAGTTCTTTGAACTATTTGGATACCATTGACCGAGACTTTTATATGAAAATACTGTAATAAAATCTAAACAATCGGGGGCATATGAAAAACATATATATTCTAACACAAATTAAATTACAAAAATCTACCTCACAACAAAATGCTTCCATGCAACGAATGACAAAAATGAGGAAAACATAGTGTACATGAATTATTGAGGAGTATATAAAATATAAACTTTAAAATGTGCTTTCCATACAAAAGTCTACTTTGGGGTTTCAGTAGTATTTGAGAAAACACGTTTCACTTTCGCAAAAATGACTTATTTATAGATTTCAAGCAGGTCTTGCTCTTGAAATTGGTGACTCATTAAAAGTCATCGTTTCAAAAATAAATGTGTTTTTTGAAACTTTCACTGCACTGCACATCGATTTATGTAATCTGTTTATAAAAAATGTTTAATTAGTAAAATTGACAAATTTCCTCTTAGACGGCAAACGGGAAAACTCATAAATTATTGTGCAGTGTCACCGTGAAATATTGCTCAGAAATTAACATGGTCCATATACCTATTTAAAGACGTTGCTCTAATTCACCAGGAACGGACCAGACGAAAATCACTCTACACAAAAAGTCACTCTACATTAACACAGATGTCACGTTGTATGTACCGAATAGTTTATAATTATCAAAAGCACATGTGTAGTTGCTTATGAATGCCTATGAAAAAAAAACATGGACAAGACATTGAGAGTAAATGGAGGTGGGAGGTGATGCGCACACTCACAGATTGAGTAACTGATATGTTTTACCTGGGGTGACGACATCTTTAAAGGAGGATCGGAGTTGGGTTTTTTGATCGTAATCTGGAGGTGGCCAGGACACGTCTCGAAGGGGTCTCGGATAGTACTCATCGTTACCTGTGTCATCAATTGGTCAGTAGAATGACTCACTTTGACGATGAATTGACTGATTTGTTTGAGGAATGCGACACTCTATACTAAACCTATTTTTAACTATTTAGTTTATTGTGTTAGCAGGCTAGAAAATAACAATTCTTCTGGTGGCAGTTTCAACAATTCTGGTGCAGCATCAATGTTTTCACTCTTTAATGGTCGTTAGTTACAACTTACTCATCTAAATTTTAATATGCTTCCTCTTAAAATTGATAGTACCTGTGATGGATTGCAATTTAACTGTTTGATAGTCCTTGTGGTAAGATTTCATCTCGAGATTTTGAAAAATTCGCATTATTTTCTTTGCTCTTTTAGAGCAAACATGTTCATTATCAGAAATTATCTACCAAGCAAACTAATATGCTTTTAAATTTCAGAAACAGCTATAGATGGTGTTTGAAGTAGAGAAAATTCATGCACTGAACCCAGAAAATCTTGTTGCTTTAAATTTAGAAGTCTAGTTTCTTTTAATCAAACACTTTCAATTTTTTTAAAGTACTTAGCTCTAAGCTAATTTTTCCACAGTGCAATTTATCTAAATCGAGGATAACTGTCACGTTGATCTAAGGTTTTGCTAAGTTTAGTAATTTTGCTGTTGGTTTTATTGACCATATAAAGTACGTTAGTATGTGCTTCCTTATAAAGTTGATATTTTGTGTAGATTGGCTGAAGGCAATTGTTAGGAATAGAGCGATTACATTGATTTTACATTTTTCTGAAAATCATGCTATTTCTCAAACATATTTCAAAATTAAAAAACTTTCCACTTATATTAGAAAACAGCGCTTCTTTTACATAAAAAGTATGGCGATTTTGTATCCGGTTTAATTATTAAAGCATTTGAAAGCAACGTACTGTAAAAAAAATTCAAGAATTTTTTCATGCCTGCATGTGTGTATCAACCGTCCATAGCATTTAGAATCACCCTAGATATATGCAAAGTGAAACTAAAATTCGGGTTTGGAAAATTTATTTTGTTTATTTTTTGTTTAGTATGTAAAGTTGAATTGAAAACTGTGCAAATATGTTAGTTTCAAAATTTGTAATTTGCAGGATAAATGAGTTTATCTTTGTCTTCTGAATAAATAGCGTAATAATGGGGTTGACCATGTTTCAGTTATTAAGTTTAAGTTTACCAGCCCTAAAATCACTACATGTTTAAGTTGATGTTATATAGAAAAATGACAAACCAAACCATACGGTGACAAACCTGAGTTTAGCGAGCCTCTAAGGCCCATTTTCATCAGAAACAAGCGAAACGCAGTTTGATGAAACTAAGTTTATGTAAACGCCGAAATTAAACGCGTTTAACGACGGACCGTTTTCACCAGCGTTTCGGTACGTTTCA